CTTTGATAAAAATACAAATAATTATTTGATCTTTGGCACGAACAGTTCAGTCAGTTAGCTCCCTGTAATTTTCTGAGACAATCCTGTGGTCACATCTTCTATGTACACATAGTCATATGTATATTGACTGCTACAAACACATAAGGTAATAACTTACAATTATAGATTGTGACTTTTTCATGCCTTACATCTTTTGCATGTTCTCATAACAGTACTTGCACCGGAAACTCACAACGATACCAATAAACAGGAGCGCTGATGAAACACTTCTGTGTCTGAGAGTTCAAACAAGGCCATGAATACAAAGAGGTTTTTCATCTCATCTCTGTTTGAGTCTCAAGTAACTGATCTTGTACCACTGGTGGAAGGTTGAATACAACTGTATAATTAATATGAATAATTATTTCAAAACAAGCTGCCAAAGGCTATGTGAGAAAGGGAAATACACAGAGACCTGCTCAGTCATCCTGTGATCACTCTTAATCACATGTCACTGTGGGCAATGGGGGAAGGTGTTCATCATTCACTTGTCTTAACTTTGTGTTTCCTTTTCTTTCTTTTAGAAATTGACTTTTAATTGGTTGCCAAACTGTAAACTATACAGTAAGTTTGGCAACTATACAGATCATTGCAGTGTGTTTAACCCAGAGCTGTAACAGACATCCATCCAGTTTAAATCAATTATCAATTAAAAATAAAACTAACATCACGTTTGGACACACAGTTGAATGTGTTTTTTAAACAATGTTCCAACTTAACAAACACGTTTAGCTGAAATGATCTATTCCAACTCTTCAACTCAAACTGGCCTACTGAAGTGCAGCTCTTCTCTCACTTCATGTCTTGTGAAAGATCATACTGAGATCTGCTCTGAGTAAACAACTTCAGTAGTCAAAGAGCACAGAAACAGTCTGTCAGTGTAGCTGCTGACTGTGTATCTGCTCATTGTTCTCTCAACTTGTAGGAGAGAAATCAAAGAAACCAGAGCTGAACAATATCTAAATGGAAGATATCAGATAGTGGCATTATTATAGAATAGAATAAATACAATAGAATAGCCCTTTATTGTCATTGTTAATGTACAACAAAATTGTGTGTGCAACTGTGCAAGAATAAAATACAAATAGTAAGCTGGCAGGAATGAATAACAAACGGGAGAAATACAATCAAGAGGAAAATATACAAAACAAGAAAGGCACACAAGAGACAGCAGGTTGCAAAGTGCTTGGAGGTAGTGCAAAGGACTAAAGGCTTTGTGTGAATGGCCTGAATGATGAGGTTACTTAGACCAGGGCTCAGATTGGTCAGGTGGGTGGGAAGGGGTGGGGTGTATATGTGGAGGGAGGATGGGGTGGGTCGGGTGGATAGTGTTTGGTGGGTCTGAATGTTTGTAAATCTGGAGGTGTGGGACCTGATTGACCTTAGGTGCCTACCAAAAGGCACTAAGTCAAACAGGTGGTGAAGGATCACCTGTGATGGCTCAGGTTGTTCAGATCTGAACGTGTCCTCCAGGGAGGCCAGTTCTCTTTTGAGCGGTGTTAATTACCTTCTGCCAGGCTTCCTGGTCTCAGTTGTGGCCCTGTGTACCAAGCACCCAGGCAGAGGGAGAGCACGCTCTCCACCAGCGACTTCTGGGCCAGGTTATTCAGGACAGGGAGGATGAGCAGCTGCTGCTGGGCCTTCTTAATTAGAGCTTTGGTTGTTG